TGTGAGTGCCCACCTAGTGTCTGGGAGGACGTCGCCTGTTGTGCGTGGACACGCCCCGACACTGTGCAAAGGACTGACAGAGTCAACATCAGGCTGGCAGAGAATGAATGGGCAGCGGGTAAAGGCAGAGGGTACCCACAACCCAGAGGGGAGGCTCCGCCCAGCCGCCTCCCTGGCCTTTCTGTCACCCCGACCTCTCAAGGTTCAAGTCCTTTGTCCTGAACCCGCAGTCCTTGTGCTGGTTCAAGATTCCCAACCTGTTCTCTTGTGCCCCCCTCACTTCCAGCCCCCACACCACCCTCCCCAGGGAGGCCCTGGCCTTCCCATCCTCTGCTACCCTCGAGGCCAAAGTCCCCGAGTCGCCTCCCAAGAGCACAGAGGCAGATGCTCTCCCACCACTGTCCGCGGGCAGCACTGAGAGGACCCAGCCCACCTGACCAGGACAGCATGGACACCCCTCCCGGCATCCTTCCAGCCGTGATTCTCTCGCCATCTTCTGCGTGGACATCCACATGCGGCCTGGCGCCTCTGGCCCGCAGGCCCCCAGAAAGGCCCCAGTCCTCACGGGGAGGACGTCCCCTGCACTCCCCCCCACCCCCGAGGCCTTGCCCACTGGCCCAGAGCCCGTGTTTACCCGGCGCACAACCTCAGGGGTGGCCAGAGGGTGGGTGGGGGCGGAGAAGTGGTGCAACCGCAGGCCTCAGAGATGCTGCTTCTGAGCCCAGTTGGGACAGCCCCCCGGCGGGAAGTCTCTGCAGGCTCATCCTTGAACCCCAGGGAAGACCTTGTACAGGGGCAGGTGCCGGAATCCGCTGGCAGACGAATGTGGCACTGGGACTCGTGACTGAATATCCTCTAGGCAAAGCCCTCTGCAAATATTTTCATCTCACTTTGATGTAAAACCATGAAGAGAACTGCGGCATCCCCACTGTACAGATGAGAAGTCGAGGTGCAAGGAGGTGAAAGGACTCTCCCAAGGCCACGGCGGGGGGAGATGGTGGCAGGCAGAACCTGACCTCATCCGGGCCTGTGCCTGCCTTTCAGCCCCCCCGGGGGCCCCGCGACCAAGGGGCGCCAGAGCGACCACATTCAGAGTAAAGGGCCTTCCGCTGCAGTGAGGTGATCCTTTAAGAATGATCTCGGCTGCCCCCGTTGCCTCTGGAGACCAAGTCCTCGCTGAAACCCCCCTCCCCCACACCCCGGCTTGATCTCAAATACACTTAAATGTCAATTAAATTTGAAATATCTACATTTGTCAGCATTTCATTTTGGGCCAGCGTGACGTGCCGCTGATTTGTCCACGCAATGTGACACATGAAAAAAACTCTCGAGATGCAGATCTTCCTCATTAAAAAATAAGCCGGCACGGCCCCTGCGCTGCAGAGGGCCCGAGCCGTCCCCGCCGCCTGACGCCCTCCTCTGACATGGTATTTAAAAAGGAACAGCCGTACCTGTCACCACTGTCACACGCACGCGCTAGGCGGCGACACGTTGAACCAAACATTAGGGAGGGCTCGGGGAGCCGTCTGCTGGGGACTCAGCGCTGAGACGAGCCGGCCAGGCGGGAGCAGGCGGGAGCCCGGGGCCTGGCGTGGTGGACGGCCCCTCCTTCCTCGAGGCCCTGCGCCTTGCGGGCTGGCCGAGTGCAGCGACCTGCCTTTGCACAGACAGCTCTTTGTGGTGGGTGGCAGACTGCAGGGTAGTAGCTGAATTGGGTTAATGAGGCAAGAGGTACACTTCTTCTCCCCCAGATTCTGCCTTAAGCTAATAAAAAATTTAAACCTGGACGTTTCCGAAGGTTCGTCCTTTATCTCTGACAAATATCTGACTGTTTCATGAGAAAACATGAGCCGCTGAATTTCGATAAGTTTATTTTGAAATCTCACCTTTTCTTAAAAGCAGGGGGGACACCCTCCCCTTTGTTCCATCGTTTCAGACCCGCCAGGTGGAAGAGGCGGGGTCACCAGGAGGCTCCCAACCCACGCTCAGTCCAGGCTCTACTTTTTAGCTGCTGCGTGGCACTGGGCAAGTGACGCCCCCTCTCTGAGCCTTGGCAGTTTCGACCCGCAAAGCTAGGATGTACTGAATAAGGAATGAGCGAGAAGCCCGGCGCGCGTGTCACCTGATGCTTGTGAGCACTGTCGTCTGGACCCAAAGTCTGGACCCGAAAAACTCATCAGACCAAACCACAGCCGAACTCCTCACACCCGGTGTCCTGTCACGCTCCAGGTGGGGTGTTCAGGACATGGCCAGGCTTCCCGAAGTTGCTGCCCAACCAGCGTGGAGAGCCACAGGAGGCAGAAGAGCTTTGTGGGCTAGATATCGAGGCTCCCTCTCTCCACCGCCCCAAGGTCATGCCGATGTGGGAGGCTCTGGATGTGGACCGCGACGTGAACGGCAGCCCTCTGGCTGGGAGCCGAGGCCGCCTGACCTAAGCCCGCGCTCTGCTCTGACGCCTGACACCCTCCTGACACGCTGCAGCGCTGAGCGCCTCCGGCTCACGGGCCATCCTTCAAGCTGACCAAGGCAGGGGTGTCTTCCCCCCCAACCTGTCCTGCCGACGGCCGGGTGGGCCCCACCTCTCCGCCTGTGATTCCCTCTGCTCAGCTGGCCCCGGCCCTTTCACAAGCCCTTGGGAAGCACCTCTGGGTGGGCGGGTGGGTGAACAGACTGACCATCTGCTCCTCCCCCTGCAACACCAGCATGGTGATACCTTCCTGCTGGGCTGCTGGGTGGGTAGCAATGGCCCGCAAAGCCCGGGCACTGCCTATTTGTGGATATTGTTTTAGATCTTTTCCAAGCTTCCCGCCTGCTGCTGCACCCCTAGTACCTTTACCCCAGGCCCCATTCTATAGGTCTTAGCAATACAGGAGAGACGGGGGACCCAGAGACGGGGCTTTTCTATCCTGTAGCCACCAGCTGATGGAAGAGACATGCTTCGGCACCCCCAGGAAGGTGGGGGCCCGCCTTGTGTCCCCAGCACACTGGCTTCCACTCACTCCATGAGCAGACTTCTGCTGTGCTAATGCTGTGCCCAGGTAGGGAGGGACAGGAGAGCCAGGCGTGACCTTGCCCTTGAGCTCAGCCCGAGAGAGACTTGCAAGAGGGGCGATGGTATTGACGAAGGGCTAACCCAGCCCAAGGAGGAGCGAATGCTGGCTAGCTGATTCCTAAGGCACCAGGGAGGCTTCCGAGCTATGCTTGCGCTGCGCTTTCAAGGCCGAAGGGCAGTCGGTCACCAGAGAGCGCAAGCAGGAGGACCCGCGGGGTGGGCGGGCCAGGCCTCGGTGGGCCCTGGCCAGAGCAGCAGCTTTGCAGGTGCTGAGCGGAGAGTGAGTCGGTTGGGTTTGAAAGCCAGACAGGTTCCTGCCGCACTTCGCTGATGTCCGGGAGCCGGGCCGCCACGTCCTCAGGACAGCCAGGCTCACTTCTGCAAGTCAGAGCCCTGCCCTCTCTCTGAGTCCGGGGGAAAGGAACCCAGAAGGCCCGAGTGGGCTTGGTCCCTAGGTCGCTGGCCTGGATGAGAAGAGGCTGTCAGTGACCTGCCACCTCCCTGGCTGCGGCCTGAGCCCAGCGGCTTCCCCTGGCGAGCCCCAGCCTCACTGCAGTCTGAAGGCGAAACCCACCTGGCATCTTCCCAGGGTGATGGAGGAAGCCAGGGGCCCTGGGGCCTCACCCAGGAACTGCCACCTGGAGCCAGCTTGGCCTCCTTTTGTAAGAACAGCATGTTCTGGGGTAGCCAGATGTGGCCTCTGGGGTGGCCAGTCTCAGCAAAGGCCACTCCCCGGGGAGGGTGCCGGCCGTGCCGCCCTCCCCGGGGCCCCAGAAGCAGCCCACAGGGCCAGGGTTTGAACCGAGGGCTGGCCGCTGGCCGGTCCAGCGCCCTCGCGCCCTGGTGCCTCAGCAGTGTATAATTCATGGGCGCCGGTGCAGAGCTGCTCGGGCTGTGTACAAGTTTGTGTTTATGGAGGTAGCGCTCACAGGTGGCTGACGAGGGGGATGCATTTTTTATAACAATGAATATTTAATTCCCACATCACAGATGAAAAAGACTCTCTGAAGAGGCATCTGAGGGAGATGCCAGAGAGCGGCCACTCATCAGGACAGGCCCCACCCGAGCCCTGCGCCGGCTGGCTTTCTTCTTTGGCTCTGCTTTATTTTTTGGGTTTTTTTCCTGGATATTGAAGATACAGAAAAGTAAAGGGAAGCCACCCCTGAGTCCCCATAGTCTCACCCGCCACCGTCTCACCTAGTCACCTGCTTTCCAGTCTTTTTTCCAGGGGGCTTTCTGCAGGTGACATGACTGTGCAGAGAAGCATGGCTGCCTGCCTCTGCTTTCTAGATTATTCTTATTTTTAAGGTTGTTTTTTTTTTTTAAGATTTATTTTACTTATTTATGCATATAAGAACTGGGGTACAGGCCAGAGGTGCAGGAGGCAGGAGTGGTGAGAGGACTCACCAGAGACAGAGTGGGGAGCTGACTGACTGAAACACGTTGCTGAGGGGAGCAGTGGGGAGACAGGAGAGGTCCGCTGTGCCGTGTGGGTCAGCTCCCTGGCGGGGGATTGAACTCGAGCTGCAGCGATAGTGCCGAGACTTTAACCCTTGCCCCAGGGAAGCCCCCAGCCTCTAGATTTTTCTTAACAAACCTTGAGTTGATTGGAAGCCCGTTGTTAGTCAGCATTCTGTACTTCACCAGGCTCGCTGCCAGGTTAGAAGCTTCACATTTCAGTACCATAAACGTGGCAGGCCGAGGTGTCCGGGTTCTGTATGGAAGTGGCCCTAGTTCCGGGCACCCAGATCCTGACAACTGTGATTAACCCACAGCTTCTCCTGTGCTCGGGGCCCGCTTCCTCCCTTGGGCCGGTCAGGCCCCCCCACTCCCCTCCTCTCCAGGAAGCCTGCACCCCAGGCTGGCTGGAGGCTCCTTCCCAGCCCCCCCGGGGTTTCCAAGAGCACCTCCTAACTGTTCTCTTCTCTCTTGTCTCCCTCTGTCCCAGCCTGGTAAAGCCCTTGCGACACTATGCTGTCTTCCTCTCCGAAGACTCCTCTGACGAGGAGAGCCGGCAGCAGGAGGGCCCCGGCTCCGGCTTCACCGAGAGCTTTTTCTTCTCCGCTCCCTTTGAATGGTCTCTTCTTCCTTCCTGCATTTCCCTGAGCTCAGCTTGGTGACTCTTGGGGCTGCTGGGGCTGGGGGGCGTGGGGAGCTGCTTGTCCTCAAGGGGGGGGGGTGTTTGGAGCTGCTGCCGTCCGGTGCCCCAGTGCCACCTGTCAGGTTGGGCACCACCTGGGGTTCCCCCTCCCTGGGCAGTCACTGCTCCTGCCCACGGGCCTGTGCCACGAGAGTGCGGTGACAGGTGACGGGCGGGGCTCTACGGGTTCGAGAGGGACCGCGCGCTTGGCAGATGGCGGAACTGGGGGCCGCCGCGAGGCTGGTGGCTGAGGCCGAGCCCTTCTTTACCTCACACCTCGTGGGACCTGTGAGATGGGGAGTCACATTCCGAGTGAAAAACGAAAAACGCCCCTCTGCTCTGGAACGTGTACATCAATGCTGGCATAGCCAAGCTTCAGCTAACCTGCCCGACTTTAGGATAATTTTGGCCATTGTGTGTGTAGCCAGGTCTCATAGTCACTGCAGATGGTGGCTGAACCGCCCACAGGCCAGCCCCGGGCTTCTGGCATTCTCCTCCTTGACCAGCCCCTGCCTCCCCACCCCTGGTCTTGCCAGAGCTCAGCTTGAGCGGAGACACGTGTCTCCTCTGTTTTTGCTAACAAGACGGTGCCGTGTTTTTAACAGGAGCCCTGGGGGAAAAGGCTTTTTACTTCACACCCAGGGCCCTCTGGGAGTGACTGTCACAGCCTTTTCTGCAGATGAGGGGGCTCTTGCCTCTTCCTGCCGGGGCGGGGGGGGGGCCTGTGGCCTCCAGGGACCCCGCACAGCTCCGCCTCCTGCCCGCCCCATCGGGCGGGGGGGTCCTGGCCCTTTCTGCCACCAGGTCTCCTCTGACGGAGGTGAGCCGACCCCTTCCGGGGCCCTCACTAGAAAGCGGGGCTTCTCCGGCCTGGCTTGCCACCCCTCCTGTCCATCCAGTCTTTCCCTTGAAATGTTTTCTCATTTAAAACTAACAAAATCAGCCTTGCCCTCGAAAGTAAGAGCTCTGATAGCAGAGGCTGGCTGTTTCAGCTTGTGTTTCTGTTACTAATTAAAGTATAGCCATTGGCACAAGAAATGTATCTGTGGTGCCCCCTTAAGATCACCTGCCAGGAACAGACTCCTGCCTGGGTGAAGACCGAGGAATCCCAGCCCCACCCCACCCCACCCCACCGAGTCCAGCGGGTCACGTACTTTATGACTGAATTGATGCCTTCGTTGGTCTAAGTAATGGAAAGGCTCCCATGTCAGCCATGACCTGTCGGAAAATACAGGTGTTTGTATGTGTCTTTAAGGCAGAACCGGCCCACCTTAAAACAAAGTGGGTTCCTTTCTAAATCACTTTCCTTACGTGGAAGAAGCCTGCTGCCTTCTTTTAGTCGCCTTTACTGTGTTCAAACTAGGGTGATGGGTCGGATCACTTATTCGAAGTGGATGAAATGGCTCACGCTCGGCTTCCATTTCCGCCTCAGCTGGTGCTGTGTGTCATAGAATGAGTTAATTAGCCTCTCTGAGCTTCACCTTCTCACTGGTAAAGTGGGGGATGTGAGTCCTACTCCGTGGCCTGCTGCGAGATCAGCCAGCCAGCTGATGTTCTTTCGGGAACTGTTGGCTGGGCCTCTCCCTGGCTGCCTGTCCCCTGCCCTGCTGGCTGAGCGGCCTCCGCGTGAGCCAGCTCCCGGCCAGCAGGTGGCACCCTTGTCCAGCCTTCCTGGACCCTGCCACGGTTTCTGCCAGGCCCTGGGCCACAGCCAGCCCCGACCCCCCTATGAAGGGGGCACCCTGCCCAAGGCCGGCTCCCTTAGAGGTCGGGGTTTACCTGGGCACCTGTACTCCACAGGTGTCTCCACGGGGGAGCCGCTGAGGCTCAGAAAGGCTAAGTGATCGCCCAAGGTCCCGGGCAAGAAATGGCACCAAGCTGGAACGGAGGGCAGCCAGGCTGAGGCCCCAACATCCCCCCTGGGGATCCCAGGTGCCCAGGCAGCTGCCCTGGAACCTCCCCCCAGCTCACTGCCCGCATAGGGAGGGGGGGAGCTGGCGGCAGCCCCAGAGTGGGCCTGCGGCCTGTCCCCCTCCAGGCGTGTCCTGTGGCTCACAGCTTGTCTGTCTGTCCAGCCCACTGGCAGTTACATGGCGTGTTTGGGAGGCACTAAGTGAGCCCCTTATGCAGACTAGAGCCACGAAGGCTTGCCCAAGGTCCCACGGTGAGCGGCAGCACCCAAATTCAGCCCAGGCCTGCTAAGCACCCACCTCGACATGGCGCCCGCAGGGTGCATCCGCTTGCTCTTCCTGGGTGGGGCCAGGGTGGAAGGATCAGCCCGCTCTGTCTCCTCCAGGCCGCAGCCCTATCGGACACTCAAGGAGTCAGACAGCGCCGAGGGCGAGGCGGAGAGCCCAGAGCAGCGGGCGCGGGAGCCGACGGGGCCTGCCCCAGTGCCGCCTGACCGGGCTGCCAGTGTCGACCTCCTGGAAGATGTCTTCAGCACCCTGGACGTGGGCGTCCCCCTGCAGCCGCTGAGCCAGGCCAAGAGCCTGGAGGACTTGCGGACCCCCAGAGACCTGAGGGAACCGCCGGGGACCTTTGACTATCAGGTATGGGCCGTGCCGGTGCAGCGGTCTCTGAGCAGAGGCAGGTGCCCCCAAGCCAGTGCGACGGTGCCCGGGGCAGCGTGGCTGCGACCCTGCCAGGCGGCAGCAGACCCTCACGGGGACCACCCAAGAGGGCGCTCGATACCCGCCCCCCCACCGCCACATGTGCCTCAGGCTGCTTGGGGCTCCAGGCTTGTCCCCCAGGAGCCCAGGGAGGCCTTGGCCCCTGGCAGAACCGGGCTTGCTCCTGTCCCCCCAAGGCTCCTTGGAGAACCTTTGGATCAAAATTCCCGGGCTCTGGACTGCTCGCGTGTGACGCCTGCACTTCCACTGTGGCTTCCAGTCTGTCACAGCCCTTGCTGGGCCCCAGTTTCTGAACTGGTGCGTGGGGATGGCTGGGCACAGTGCTGGGCGGGTGGAGTTCAGTGTCCCGAGATGCACAAGGCATGTGTGTCCTCATGTGTGTCCTGTGACCACCACATGCCGGGGCACGTGGCTCGTGGTAGCGGGGGCCAGCGCGTGGCTCGCGGTAGCCGGGG